GCCCTTCCTGCAGGGGCCCTGGCATCTCAGGACCTCCAGCAGGGATACGAGCTCCATCCTCTAGTCAGCTCAGCCCCACCTGTGTCCCCTGTGTCTCCAAGGCTACAGGAGCACCACCTGGAAGCCTCACTGCCTGGGGCTATGAGGCTGCGTTCTCGTGGTTCCTGCATGAGGGCAGCCTGGGCCTTGGTCTGAAGTCCTCTGGCCAGCTCTCTGGTCTGGCCAGTCACTGAGAGGGTTGTTGAAGGATGTGGCTCCACTGCCCCTGAGGCTGCACACATGCTCAGACCGTGGCATTCAGGCCACACTGGGCCACAAGGACCTACTGGGCTGGGCTGGGTTGAGATCTATGGTTTGTTTTCCTTTTCACTTTGGCTGCTGGGAAGCTCATTTATTGATGTCAGCCCAGGCTGTTTGGGCACCACACCTCCACAGGGCCTCAGGGTCCCTTGGCCTGAACTCCAGTGCCCTTGTCTTGCACCCTCCCCCAGAACCACGTCCCTCTCCAGCAAACCACCCAGCATGGGCATTGCTGAGGAGGTGGGATGGGTGGGGTGATGCCCCTCCCAGGCCCAGCCAGTCCCTCCTGTGAGTGCAGGCTGATCCTTCCGGGGACCTGCCCTCCAGCAGCAACCCGACCGACTGTGATTGCTTGACCGTGATTGTTCCGTGCGGCGTCCAGGCCCCACTCTCAGTGGGATGTGAATCAACTCGTATCCACCTGACAGCAGTCCTGTGCGGTGATGCTGTCATCACCCCATTTACAGACGGGGAGACTGAGGCACAGAGAGACCACTGCCTTGCCTGGGGCGGGCTGGAGGAGCAGCGCTGGGGTTGCCAGCTCTGCGGTGCCCCCGCCCCCGGCGCCTTCCTACCCCAGCCCAGGCCCCTTCCAGACCCCATATCGGTACTGCTGCTCACGCCTCTCCGGCGCTTCACGGCGAGCGCGGGGAAGTTGTGGGGGACTTCGGGCAGAGACCCCGCGGTAGCCAGACCCAGGTCAGAGGGGCGCCCTGACCGTCCGCGTTGCACCCCTGCCAGCGGCCCTCCTCGCGGGGGCTTGTTGGACTGCGAGTCGGCCGGCCCCGCAGGCTCCAGGCGGCGGCCCCCATCGGGACTACATTTCCCAGCAGGCCGTGCGCGCGCAGTGCCGCCTGGGAGTTGTGGTCCAGGAGGGGGGCCCACGCATGGGGCGGGCGCTTGGAGGGACTACGCGTCCCAGGGTGCAACGCGGCGGCCGCGGGAGCGGGGGTTTGAGCCGAGGGTCTCGGCCGCGGCGGGCAGCGGCGGGTTGTTGGGGCGGCGGGGTCGAAAGCCAGCGGGTGCGGGAGGCGGCGGCGGCCGGGGTCGGTCTGAGCCGGTGGCAGGCCGGCGCGGCGGGCGCTGGGGCGCGCCCCCGGGGCGGTGATGGGCAAAGAGGAGGAGATTGCGCGGATCGCCCGGAGGCTGGACAAGATGGTGACCAAGAAGAGCGCGGTGAGGGTCGCGGGCCTCCAGGGCTCCGGGACCACCGTCCCGCCGAACCCCCGCCGAACCCCGGTCCGGGCCGGGAGACCCCTGGAGGGCAGGACGAGCCCCCGCCCCGGCAGAGACTCCAGGGACGCGGGAAGACCCTCACCCAAGGCCGAGATCCCCGCCCCGGGCCGGCCCATTACTCACCCCAGCGCCCCGACAGAGGCCGCTATCCGGGCGGACCTGGCCTCAGAACCAGCTCCCTGGACTGAGACCCTCCGCCAGGCTGAGACCCCCCCCCCCCCCCCTCCGTCCCCCCACAGACCCGGGTTCCGCCTCCAACTTCGGACCCGGGCCTGGCCGATGGAGACCTTCCTTGGCTGCCCTCTTCCTGGCCTCACGAAGACCACCCCCCCCACCCCGCCGCGCCTTGTTACCGACCGCCGCGTCTCCCTGCCTTCCTCCTTTCCAGCCACCTTTGCGGAGCCTCAGCCCCCGGCCCAGTGCCCTCTGCCTATCCCAGGCCTCCCCACCTTTATCAGAATGCAGAATTTGGCATCTCCCCTCGTCCCGCAGTGCCCCTCCTCTAGCTGGGCTGGGCCCATTCATCCCCTTTCACAAGCAACAGAAGCCTTTCGCGTCTGCCCCACTCCACAAAGTCTATTCCAATAAACTCTCCCTTCCTTAGCCAGGACTCAGCCAGCAGCGACTGGAGTGGTTGGATGTATAGAGCCCCTCAGGCAAGCCCACACGATTGTGTAAGACCTGAGAGGTGGAAGCCTGCTGGCCGAGCCCTGGTGGCCAAGCCCCAGTTGCCAAGTCGCCTGGCCTTCCATCATGCAGCCACAGCTTCTAGGAGTGGCCAGGCCCCCCACTCCCCCAGCTTCGTGACCTTGGCAACTTCGTACAGTTCCATGAAGCGTCCTTGGTGGAGACCTGCCCCGTGGGGAGGCCATGCAGGGCCTGCCAGTTGGGGGCAGTAGGCAGCCATCAGGTGGATTCCGACTCAGCAAGGCTGTGGGACAGAGTAGAACTGCCCCATAGGGTTTCCAAGGCTGTAAATCTTTACGGAAGCAGACTGCCACATTTTTCTCCCACAGAGTGGCTGGTGGGTTTGAACCACCGACCTTTTGGTTGGCAGCTGAGCACTTAACCATTGTGCCACCAGGGCTCCTAGCAGGCAGCCAGGGCTCAATAAACCTTAATGAACCTTCGAGAGACCTGCTCTCTCCCCCCAGACTGGAAGCCCTATGGGGCAGGGCCACTGGCGTGGGAGTCAGCTGAGGGGCTGGATGGCCACCCCAAGCCTCACAATGGCCATGGAGTTTGGGAGGGCTTTTTGGGTCTCTGGTGACTGTGACTCTGGGCTGGGGTCTGGGGCCCCCCATTCAGGAAGGGGCTGCCTCATTCATTCATTCATTCATTCATTCAGCAAGCAAGCATTTAGGGTCTATAGTGTTCACATGCCAGGAAGCTGTGGGCAGAGTGAGGGTGTCGGCCAGTCTCCTGGGCCTTTGCAGGGATGACCAAAGGTGGAAGAAAGGTGCTCACCTAGGGGTGGGGGGTGCTGTGGGGGGAGGGCTGGCCAGGGCCTGGCAGAGCTGGGGAGGGTGTGTGTCCAGGTGGAGGCACAGCAGGCAGAGAAACCCTGGGTGGGGGGGGGGCAAACAGAAAGGGGGACACCGTGCACGAGGCACCAGGCAGAGCCATCTGTCCCCTCTGAGAGGTCCCGATGCACAGCCCAGCGGGTGGGGCCTGCCCGGTGGGATGAGCAGAGACACTGCCCTCTTTGAGGGGTGTGCCAGGCCTGGCCCTGTGCACGGCGCCTGGGCTGAAGGATGTCGGCTCTCACACTCGGGTGGCGGGTCATCGGTCCCTCATCTTGCAGGAAGACACGCGTGGAGACTCACTGGTGCAGTAGGGCACCGTGTCTGTGGAGGCGGGTAGGGGTCACGTGGGCGTGGGTGCAGTTTTCAGTGTGAGAGGCCTCGCTGAGGAGGTGCCGTGGGAGCGGACCTTTGGAGGGAGGAGCAGTGGAGGCCTGGCAGTGGAGCAGCTGTGTCGAGGGGGAGATGGGGGGCGGCGGTTGTGTGGTCTAGGCGTGAGGGAGGGGCGGGGTCTGACCCTGGGGTGACATGGGGAGGTGAGGACTGCCTGTGATGAGAAGGCAGCACTGGGACTGGCTGATGGCACTGTGGAGAGGGGCTGGGTGCCGAGAAGGTGGCCATGGTGCCCTTCAGGCGGAGGGTGCACCTGTCTTCCCTGCACTTTGGGTGAGGCTGCCTGTCCCCAGGGCGTGTGGACAGGAAGTGGGAAAGGTCTGGGACCTGCACAGGGCGTGGCGCTGGCCCGCTTACCCCAGCTCCAGGTTGGGGTGATGTGATGTCGGGGTGAGGTTCAAAAGTCACAGGACCCATGCTTGAGCGCTGCAGCCCCAGGTGGGGGCCGTGGTAGCACCTCCAGGGTGTCACTCTCTGGTGTGCAGGAGGAGGGCTGAGGGTCCACAGATTTCCATGGAGGTTGTTGAGTCGAGGTCCCCCTTACCCCAGGAAGGAGCAATGGACCTGCTTCGGGAGTTGAAGGCCATGCCTGTCACACTGCACCTGCTGCAGGTAAGTCCCTGGGTCCAGGGCGGGGTGGGACACCGAGAGCGAGGGGGTTCCGTCACGGACCCCTCTGCCCCGCCTCCTTCAGTCCACCCGTGTCGGGATGTCGGTCAACGCGCTTCGGAAGCAGAGCTCGGACGAGGAGGTCACCACACTTGCCAAGTCGCTCATCAAGTCTTGGAAGAAGCTCCTGGGTGCGGTCAGGCCCTCGGGGGCTGGGGCAGGTGGGGGGGCGGGGGAGGCGAGCCCTGGGGGGACCGGCCGAGTCGGGAGTCCACTTGGAGGAGGATGAAGGAGGTGGCTGGCCGAAGTGTGGACACCACCCTGCAGGGAGGGGATGGAGGGAGGGCAGCCCCGGCAGGGAGCGCTGGGCTGGGCAGACGGGCCCCTTCCTGGGGATGTTGGGATAACTGCGGGTTGCAGAGACGCCCCCACCCAGGACAGGGGGGCCCCCTCTGGACGTGAGAGTCCCCTCTGGGCTTGTGTGGCCATCAGGCTATGCGTAGGGGGAAAGGGGTCCTGGCCCCAGCACAGGCCCATGGCTGAGGGTTCAGGAGGAGCCTTGGTTAGGGGTCGCCAACACGTCTTCCTGGTCCAGCTCAGGCATGCTAGTCACGCTGGGGGCCAGCCTCCTTGGACACGCTACTGCCGCCACTGCTGGGTCCCCACACTTCAGGGTCACTGGGCAGTGGGCCGGCCCCAGAAAGGCCCCAGGAGGCAGCATGGGGGGGCATGGTGCCCTTGAAGTGGGAGGCGTCTGCAGAAGGGGCATCGCAGGGGTGGTATGGAATGCAGAGGCGAGGGGGCCTGGGGAGAGGGCTGTGTTGGCAGGAAGCCACTGCAGCCCCAAAGCCCCTGGCAGGCCCTACAGCTCCCCAGTAGCCCCTGGCAGCCCCCCAGCCCTGGGTGTGACCTTCTGAGGGACAAGGGTGCTGTGTGGCTCGGCCTGCCCCACAGTGGCCGTCTGCACTCCTCCTTCGGCCTGGCCCAGCCCTCCCAGGCTGCCTTGCCGAGCCCCTTCCCGCTGTTTTCCTGCGACTGCAGATGCTTCAGACGCTAAAGCTGGGGAGCAGAGGAGCGCGTCCCTGGCCTCACCGCCCTCGAAGGACACCTCCGAGGCAAAGGTCCACAGGTGCGCCTGGGGGGCGGTGCGCTGGCCCAGATCAGCCCCCCAGAGAAGTGGTGCTTGCACCCCTACCCCGAGGGCGCTGCTCTGTGAGGGGGCAGCTTTGCCCCCCCTTCCTGGGGCTGGTGTTGCTGGGTTGAGTGCTACCCTTGACTCTGGACTTGGTGTGTCCACTCTGGCATCAGTGAGTTGTTCCCTGCCCAGTGGGGGGCTGCTCCAGAGTCTGGAGCTGGTGCAGGGCCAGCAGTGGGGCATGGGGCAAGGGGTGGATGGTGTGGAGGGGTAGGTGGTGGTGGGTGTGTGCAGGGCGATGGGTGGGCCAGGTGGAGAGGCCAGAAGGAGGCTGTGTAGGGGACTGGGGGGGAGGGGGCTGGGCAGGGTGCTGGGGGGTGGGGTGGGGCGAGGCCTGGACCCAGCAGCTGCTGAGCATCACACCCTTCTGAACACCTACGTGTATTGTTTTTCCTCGGGAAGTTCCCCTGCTCCCGCTGGCTTCCCGTGGGGCCTCGGGGTCGTGGGACGCTGGGGTGTGTGGGGAGGGCTGGGTGGCTGCAGCCTGGCCGTTGGGCTGCCTGCGTGGGGCCCAGCCCTGTGAGGGCGTGTCCCTACTGGTTTTATACGTGGCAGGGGTGACCCAAGAGCTGGCCTTGGGCTAGCCGAGCCCGTCTCCACCGAGGCGGGGGGCGTCTTTGTCCTCACCTGGTCTTGCCGTGGTGGTGGCTGCTGTCTTCAGGGAGGAAGGGTACCCGGGGTGGCCATGTCCTGGGCCTCCCAGAGAGGGTGGTGGAGCTGTGGCTGGCTTCTGGCACCCCGGCCTCTGGTCCTGGGCGCACTGCTAGGGTGCACTGGGGCCTGTGTCTGAGCCCCATGGGCTGTCCCTCTCCAGCCGCAAGAGGCCAGAGCTGCCCAAGACACCGTCGACTCCTCGGATGACCACGTTTCCCCCAACACCCGTCACCTGTGATGCTGTACGCAACAAGTGTCGAGAGATGCTGGCTGCTGCGCTGCAGACGGACGGTGAGTTCCCACCAGCCACACCCGGGCCCGCCCATCCCCTGCCCCTTCCCCGGCCCCGTGCTGCCCACCTGGGGCAGGTGGGGTCTTTGGGACACAGTGGTGTCCCTTCCTGCCTCCTCGGGTGTTGGGTGGGTGGAGAGGCCAGTGGGCGCAGCTGGTCAGGGCTGCCTCTTGCAGACGACCACGTGGCCATCGGCGCGGACTGTGAGCACCTGTCAGCCCAGATCGAGGAATATATCCTTCCTGCCAGCAAGCGGGCTGGGGCCTGTGCGGGCGGAGGCCGGCTAGGCCTGGCTCCCCCTGGTGGCCGATGGTAGGCACCGCCGGCCGCCCTGTGCCCTGGGCAGGGCAGCCACCTCCTTCCTGGACGGGTCAGGGTCTCAGTGGGGAACGGTCCAGTGGAGGCCCCTGCCTGCTCCCAGGCCAGGGTGGGCAACTCTGTTCCAAGGGGCTTATCCTAACTGGTGGGCAGAGCATGGTGGCAGAGCTGGCCCTGGCTCCTCGTCCTAGCCCAGCCTTACACAGCCCCTTTAGGGAAGGGATGTCTATGGAGGACCCCAGCCCAGCCTGAGGCCCCCGTGGGGAGGGGATACCCATAGAGAACCCCAGCCCAGTCCAGCCCCTCTCGGGAGGCCCATGGGTCCTTAGCAGCTGCACGCATCTTCCGGGACGTGGGGAGCACGGACGTCAAGTACAAGAACCGCGTTAGGAGCCGCATCTCCAATCTGAAGGATGCCAAGAACCCGGGTCTACGAAGGAGCGTGCTGCGCGGTGCCATCGCACCCCAGCGCATCGCCGAGATGACCTCGGAGGTGAGCCGCTGGGCCTGGGGTGGGGAGCTGCTCTGAGGGCCTGACCCTGACCGGCATCCCTCCAGGAGATGGCCAGCGACGAGCTGAAGGAGATCCGAAAAGCTATGACCAGAGAGGCCATCCGCGAGCACCAGATGGCCCGGGCGGGCGGCACCCACACTGACCTCTTCACCTGCGGCAGGTGCAAGAGGAAGAGCTGCACCTACACTCAGGTGGGCCCCCCCCCCAAGCTCTTCACCTGAGGCAGGTGTAGAAGGAAGAGCTGCACCTACACCTACACCCAGGTGGGCCCCCTGCCTGCAAACTGGCCTCTCCTGAGACCTGGCCCCAGACAGCAGCATTCTTGGTGGTGGGGCCTGTCTCCTGGCATTTGGGTTGGGGACCCTGTCCAGCCCAGCAGGGATGCCCTGAGGAGTGGGTTGTGGTGGGTGGATGCTAGGTGCTCTAAGGGGGCCGTACGGCTGCCAAAAGGTGTCCAGGTGAGGGGATGGGGGTTGACAAATGGAGCCTTTGGGAGGCCATGGCAACTATGCCGCCCTCTTCCCCTCTGGCCCTTGGGCCCCCCCGCCCTGCTGGTCCCATTGGTTTGTAAGCCATGCAAGCTTCCAGATGACAGAGCACAAGAGCCAGGCACAGCCCCCTCAATCCCGGGGTGCCCGCCTCGGCGGCTGGTGTTTGCTTCCGGCCTTCCATGAGCCCCTACCCGACGCAGTGGTCTCCCTGCAGCCCCGAGAAGTCAGGTCTCCCTGAGAAATAGTCCCAGGGCCTGCCCCCACCCCCCGTCACCAAAGTGCCCCCACAGGTGCAAACCCGAAGCTCTGATGAACCCATGACCACCTTCGTTGTCTGCAACGAGTGTGGAAACCGCTGGAAGGTGGGTTGACCCCTGGCTTTGGGTGGGCATGTCCCAGGGTGTCCGGGCCGGGTGGCCACGCCTCTCACCCTGGCATCAGGTGGGGCAAGAGTGCGGCCTGGGCCGAGACCCTGGCCACGGCCTCATGCCTGACTCCCCACAGTTCTGCTGAGCCTTTGCATGAGCCTGCAGCATCTGCTGCCCTCCCCACCCGTTGACTCAGCTTCTCTGGAGACCCACTGCTGCCCCTGCCATCCCGAAGCGACCTACTCCATCCCTGTCCTGCCTGTCGTGTACTTCTGCCCTTTGTCTCAAATCATTAAATGTTTCTTTTTGCCATCCTGATGTCCTTGACCCTCAGTTTGGGTGGGATGTCCCCATCCTCCATGTCTGGTTCATCTCTGCTGCTGTGGACAGTCTGGGGCCGGCTGACACGGGGCCCTGTGGGCAGTGGCCATCGAGGAATGTCAGCTGGCCCCAGAGGGGTCACTGAGGACCCAGGCGTGGAGGTGGGTGTGGTGTGCTGTGGGCCTGTGTGCACACCTGCAGGTGAAGGGTAGGAACAGGGATGTGTGCACTCAGGAGTGTGTGTGTATGACAGGCCCAGTGAGCTGGGTGTGTGGGCTAGCAGGGGACTTGTCCAGACGACTGGGGGCCCACGTGGGGCCTGGGTTAGCTGCCCTCAGCATCCTCCCACCTACCCCATGCTGCCAGCTGCTCCAGCCCCGAGTTGTGGAGGCTTTGACCTGGGTCCCTCTGCCACGCCCTCCTGTAGGGCCTCTCGGCAGCTTGTTCCCCACCCCCAACCCACATCTCTCCTCGAAGAGGCAGAGTGGACATGCCAGGGTGGGTGGACGTGGGGGTTCTCAGGGCCTGGCCAGTTCCAGCTTTGAGTTGTTTAGCCTCTTGGAGACTTGGGGAAGCAGGAGTGATGAGCACATTCCTGGGGCCCATGAGAGGGTGGAGGTGACTCTGCACCTGGCACCGAGGGAGTCACCTCTGCTCGGCTCCCTGCCAGGGTGTCCGTGGAGCCATTCACAGATGTGGTCACCGAGCTCACGTGTGTGGGAGGCGGAGTAGCTGCCCTGCTAGGGGGAGGGTCAGGGCCTGGAGACCGTGGGGTCAGGGCAGGGCATGAAGGCCCCTTGAGGGGCTGGGGCTGGGCCAGGCTGCTGGGTGGGTGGCACCTGTGCCTGGAGCACCCCGGACACCCTGGTGAGACCACTGCCCCGCCTGGGGATGACACATGGAAGTAGACAGAAGAGAGACTTTGCTTTAAAAATATCTTCAGTAATAAGGCATCCTATATCCTAGATAAATATGAAAACTTTTTTTTTGTTAAAACACAGTAAGGATGCTTCCAGTTTTAAAGTCTTGAACAAAATGGAAATAAGGCTCCTGTTGCCTGGAGCCCAGTTCTGGGGTCAGGGTCTGATCCCAGCGAGAAGGCAGCTCTAGTGTGGGGCTCCACGAATTATAAAAATAGACAGTGTAGAGGTTCTAGTCTCCACCAAAGGCAATTCTTGGGGCCAGAGGTGCCTCCTGGGAGGGACCCTCCATGTGCAGGAGCCTCTCGGGGCGGTGACGGAGGAGCTGCCCGCCAGCCAGGCCGGAGCAGATGCCCCCACACTTGCCTCCGCTGGACCTGGAGCACCTGAAGCCCCTGCCTGGCCTCGTGGGGTGGAGCCTGGAGTCAGCAGCCAGCCGGGACTTCCTGGGGCCCCAGACCCCTACTCGCCTCAGCTCGCGGTGGAAGCCCACATGGGGGCCTAGCGTCCTGGTGTGTGAGGCGGGCTCAGGCCTCGGAGAAGGACGGGGTGGAACCGTGGAGCAGCAGGGCGCGGTAGACTGGGGAGCCGAGAAAGCGGGGGTAGGAGTCCCGGTGCATGAGCGTGTAGATCTGCAGCTGTGCGTCGTCGAACGTGTGCGCAGACGGCTCCTGCATCCTCTTGTTGATGCCCTCCCGCACGCGCGAGTCCAGGCTCACCTGCGGGTGGGGCAGGGCGGGGCGGGGTCAGGGGCCTGTGGGTGGCACCTCCACCCGCCCCGCCCCACCCACTACGGCGCCGCGCACCTCCTTGGGGGATAGGATGGACACGTAATCCTCGTAGATGAGCCGCGCTTTCTCGTCCACCACGTGCTTGTTGGCCTCGGCCTTGAGCTCCTCGCAGGCCAGCCAGAAGAGCATGTTCTCCTCGCTGTACTCCGTGCGCAGGAACTCGCGGAACACATTGCGCCCCGCTGGGCTGTGCATCAGCTTGTCGAAGGACTGAGCCCAGCTGCGCACCTCCTCAGGGCTTGGCGCAGCACTGCGAGCGAGCGGGCCTCGGTCATACAAGGCGCCTCCCCAGCCCTACCCGCCCCTGACGTGCAGACGCATGCACGCACACATGCCCACGCCCACCCCACGCATGCACGTCCACCTCATGCGCGCACACAGGCTGCCTGGGACTCACCATGCTTCGCAGCTGGGAAGGGGCTGCAGCTTGGTCTCCCGAGAGGTCCACCAGGCTCGCCGCCGCTCTTCATTCCTAACAGCAGAGAAAGGCAGCAACTGCCTGGGCTCACAGGGACACTACACATGTGCACACGTGGCCCTCAGCACATGAGTAGACACAGGCGTGTGGACAGGCACAGGGCTATGCACATGGGAGACGCAGGCGTATGGAGGGGCAGCCCCTGGAGTCTTTGCTCCCTTCATGCCCCTCCTGGGAAGGGGGTCCACTCACTGCCCACCGCTCCCTTCCGTCCCTCTCCCTCCACTGAGTCCGCTTGTCCAGTTGCTGATCCTGCCAAGGCCACGGCGTCTGCCCTCTTCAGCGGTGTTTGGCCGGTGACCCCCCACTGTCTTCCTGCTGGGACCCTACCTGCTCCGCTCTGAGCTCCTCCTGCCTCCCTGGCCCAGCCCTCACTCGCTTCCCAGCCCTTCCTCCCAGAGGCCCCTGGCAGGTCCGCCCTGCAGGCCCAGCGGGCCCTGATCAGGCTGAAATCCTGCCCTGTGCCCACCTGTCGGGACCCACTATCTGGCCCTGACCCCCAGGGATGACTCCTCTCTTCCAGTCCTCTCCCCACTGGATGGCCCCACGCCTCCTCCTTCTCATCAGTGGCACCCCTACCTCCAGAAATGCCAGCCCCCAACCCGAGTCCTCTCGATCCCTCCTATACCCCGCCCCAGCCAGAGACACCACCAACTTCTAATTCCCTGGGCTCCTCTGTCCTAGGCTCTGGCCTCGGTTTCTCACTGGTCGCCTGATTTCACTTTGGGTCCCTACAGCCCACCCCCAACTCCACAGCCAAACCTGAAGTCTGACTAGGGTCAGGCTCCGAGGGGGTGGCACCTCCAGCTCTGCAGAACCCCACGCCCTCCTGTCCCAGGACTGTGCCCCGCTGCAGGTGCTCTCCCTATCTTCCCAGGATTGGCTCACCCGTCCCCTCCTCAGAGCCCCCCAGCGCCCCCTTTGCAACCCTTAGCACAACCTGCAGAGTCTGTGGTTCTGTCTGCTCCTCTAGGCCCCTAGGCCTGCCTCAGAGTGGCGTTGATAAACGTGTGCCGAGCACGTGGACAAGTGGGTGCACATGTGCACACAGGTGCAGGCCTGGTACCCACCCACGAGTACACCCTTGGTGTACCTGAGTCTCCTGGAGGAGCCAGGGCAGGACGGGGCTGGCAAGGTGGCAGAGCTGTCCTGCCTGTGGCCTGCGCCTCAGAAGCCTCCGGCCCCCCACAACCCCCAGCCTCCCTCGCATCCCCAGGCTCCCTGCTCGCCCAGGTCCCCCCACACCTCCAGGCCCCCCTCGCACACCGAGCCCCCCAACACCAGGCTCCCTGTGTACCCCAGGCCCACGTACCAGGAGCAGCTGCAGCAGCAGCACCAGCACAAGCAGCAGGGGTTGCGCCCGGGGGCAGCCGGGACGGCGGGAGGGGCTGCATCATGCCTGGACATAGGGGGCGGCTGGTCCGCCTCCTCCGGCCCTGTGTGCTGTGGGAGACGGAGGCTCAGCCCAGAACACAGCAGCCCGGCTCCTCCCCCACTGCCCGCTCGTGGGTCTACGCCCCCTGGGACACGACCCTTCCTGCCTCCCAGGTGTTCAAGGGTCTCCCAAACTCCCTGTTGCCCCCCCCATCATCCCCAGGGGAGCAGGGGCGCACCTGTGTCTCAGCCTCATGTGGGGTGGGCATGGGTGGGCCAAGAAGGTCCCCCAGGCTCTGTGGTGCCTGCTCCGGAACCCTCACCACGGTGGGGGGTCTGGGGAGAGAGGCCGAGGCTCTGAGAACCTGAGACCCCAGTCCCTGCCAGCCCCTGTGGGTCCTGAGAGGGTCACCCTCTTTCCTCCCCAAGCCCTCCACCCCCGACCTTCAGCCCTGGGCTCTCCCCACCCCCCTAGCCTACACCAGGACTGGGGGCCCAGGTGAGTGGGGAGTAGGCTGCAGTGGCTTCTGGCCCCTCATCCTAGTCCGGGCCCCAGTTGAGGCCCCCACGGGAGGTTCCGGGACACCCCCATCAGCTCAGTCCCTGGGAAGCCGGAAGCTTGGGTTCCTCTTTCTTGGTTTCCAGCTCTCTGCCCCTCCCCAATGGGGCTGGGGGCCCCCGAGAGTCATGGGGGTGGCAGTCAGATATTCAGAGCCCCCCGCCCAGCTCTCTTCATCCTGTGTTTTCTGCCCAGACTGTGGGGCTGGGTAGGGTTGCTCACAACCAAGAACCCCGAATCTGCCCATCAGTCTCAAGAGTTTTTTTTGACAGTTTACCGGGACTCAGCAGGGTAGCAGGCTGGGCCCGCAGCAGCACGGAGGATGTGAGTGCAACTCGGGGCAGGACTTTCTGAGGGTTTGGGGAGTGGGGCAGGCAGGGCGGGTGCCTCGGAGGAACCCGCCCTGGCCCAGCGCCCCACTTACCCGCTTTGGTCTTTGGTGCTGCCCTTGCCTGCAGGCACCCACCTTCCCCCAGGAGCCCCTGCCCTGACAGTATGGCCTTCTTACCCTATGCCCAGCGCTTCCGTGGCACCCCCACCCGCCCGCCCGCCGCCTCAAGGCAGCGGAAACTACTGCAGCCGAGCACCCCGCTGCAGGGCGTGCCACTCCGGGGGTGCCAGGCTGGGGGAGGGGGCGCCTGCTCCTGGGTCAGGGCCTGGAGACCCTGCGCTGGCCATCCTGCCTGTGTTTGTGCTGTACCTCGGGCAGGCGTGCCAACGCCAATGGTTTCGCCAAGCCCGGGGGTGGTGGAGGTGGGGGTTGGGGCACCGGAGACCCCTTGGTCTTACTCAGTGCAGCCTGGCCAATCTGCACCCTGCAGGTGGTTTTGAGTGCCCCTGCCCACGCACACTGCACCCGCCACTGTACCTTGTTCCACTCTATGTTCTCATTTAATATAGCCCGACCCTACCCCGGCTCATGGCGTTTTAATCCCAGTTTTGGTCTGTCTGTGTTGCCTCTCGGGCCTCCAGGGAAGGAGCAGACCTGAATGTTCTAGGGCAGGCCTACTCCTGGGGCCCCTGGCTGGTCACGGGGGCCTCGTGTGGCAGCGCTCAGGGGCCACGATGCTGTTCCCCGGCCTGGGCATGTGGAAGCCTGGCTCTGACAGGCTTTGGGGCGGGCACAGGGTCCTCTGGGGCCTAGGCCCTTACCATCCACCTGGCTTCATGGACCCCATGCGGGGCCCTCAAACTGGGGCCCGCAGGCCCCACAGATAGGGGAACAACACACTTTCCCTGGGGTCAGGTTTCTAGGGAGAGGAAGGGGTGTGGTGCTGCCTGAGGTCTGGGAGCGGTACCCCTAGACAGGGTGATGACTTCCTCTTCCACCCCACCCTTCCCCCCTCCCTTAGCTCCAACCTGCTCTGAATTGGAGGAGGGGGACCTGTCTAGGGTGCAGGGCCGGGTGGTGGGGGCCAAGTCCCTTCTTCCTCAGGCCCTTGGCATGGTCCCTACACCTGGTTCCCTGTGCTCTCCCTAGGCCGCTGAGGCCACCTCACGCCCTTGGGCACCCGTGGGTGCCCTGGGCTGCCTCCTCTGCCTCCTGAGAGGGCAAGGAGTCTGAACTAGGGTCCTCCTGGCTCTCATGCTGGTGTTCTGGGGGCTCCTCCCCTTCCCCAGCCCCCAGGCTTTGGCCCCCGAGTCTGAGATGGAGGGGCTGGATGGGCGGCCAGTGCAGCCTCTGGGGACAGAGCTTCCCCTGGGAGTGGCTGCTGCTCCGCACCACAGAAGGAAAAGGAACGTCCCGAGCTGCCCAGTCCAAAAAAAGAATAAGAAAATGTGACAATCCCAGAAAGAAATGCCATAACCTTTGGGGGGGCCAACAGAGGGGCCCACTCCCTCTGATCCTACCCAGTACCCTCTCCTACCTGCCAGCCTCTTCCGCTAGCCTGGTGGGGGTAGCCCCCGGCCTGGTCCCCTCCAAGGAAGGCTGGGTCACCCCAGCCCTGGTGACCCCCGCCCCCAGCCTGCCCCTGCAATGGCGGGGGCACCCCCCCAAAGTCTCAGACCCTGTCTTCTAACGCACCCACCCCGCCTTAAGGAACTCTTGCTGTCCCAGCACCCCACTCACCAGCGACCCAAAGGTGGGGTGGGGGCGGGAAGGGCCAGGTTCGCTCTGGCCCCACCCTGGCCTCCGAAGGGGCGTGCACTGCAGCGGGGACTCGAGTCAGACGGCAGGAGGTACTCCTGCGGCGTCTGGAGGGGCCGACGAAGGAGCCCCGATCGGCTGGGCCGGGGGCGCAGCGCCTCCCTGCCGGCTCGCAGAGCTGAGCAGCTGCTAGATCTAACTGGGGCGGGGGCGGAGGGAGTCCCGCCCCGGCCCCTCCCCACCGGGACGAGGCGGGCGGGAGACGCGGAAACCTGGGTCCTTCCGGCCCCCACCTTTGAGCAATCGCTCCCCCGAGCTTAGAGCTCCAGAGAAAGGGGAACCGGTGCAGCGTCCCTCCCCCGCGCGGGGGAGGACGGCGGTCCCGCCCCGGCCCAGGGTCCACGTGGGCCTGGGGCGGAAAGTCCGAGTGCGTCCCGGGACGCCGGCTCCCAGGCTTCCCCACAACAGCCCCAGGCCGGGAGGGGAGCCGAGTCCTGG